GCAAACAGAATGATAATCTCACCTGGAATCGGAAAATCGACTATTTTGACGAAGGAAGGCGGCGCTACCGGCGGAGATAGAGGAGGCGGAGATGGAGGCGGCGCTACCGGCGGAGATAGAGGAGGCGGCGAAGTCGCTGGTGAAGGGAGGCAGCTCGGAGAGGAAGTGAAAGGGAGAAGTGGGCGTCGGTCTCGTTGAAGTATGAGGTGAAGAAAAGAAGCGCTGGTGAAGAAAAGAAGCGCTGAAATTTTGGGGTACAAGCGGAAAGACGCGTTTTTTAAAATTTCAGACATTGTTCTGTATCTGAAAGTTTAAGAGACATTCACAAAATTAATAAGCAAAAAATAATAGGCTACCAAACGGTCTAAAAGATATGCTCTTAATTTTCAAATTTAGAGGCAAAAAACAGCCGCTAAGTCTCTAACCTATGATCTTCCACAAATAAAGTATTAACCTAACATAAGGGCTGTCCCCTGGTCAATATGTACATTGTACCAAAAAAAAAAAAAAAAAAATAAGATAATGACTTAAGGGCTGTTCCGTCGTCAATATGTACATTTTACAAAAAAAAAAAATAAAAATAATCACTTAAAAGGGTAATATATTTTTCGATTTTTACACATTTAGTCACTGAGTTTTTTTTCGTCCACATTTACCCCTTCAACTTGTTAAACTGTACACATTTAGTCCTTATGACCGACTACTCCAGGTTAGCCGGTTAAAATGACTTAATAGGGTAATATATTTTTCACTTTGTACACATTTAGTCCTTAATATTTTTGTACATATTTAGTCCTTAATAATTTTTTTTGTTGCAAAATAAGTCATTTTTGTTTTTGTATTCATTCAGTACTTATGAATGATTTCTTTAGGTTTTTTTCACGACATCTTATGTGGGATAGTCATATGGTGGTGGGATAGGTTGAGGTGGTCCTGTTATATGCTGTAGACCGAGATACTTGGTGCAGGCCAGCTATAAGCTGTAGGCACAGAGGCTCGAGAAGAGCGGTTGGGTTAAGGCGGCATGCCAACAAACCCTGGGTATTCTAGTTTGATGATTGATTGGAACTGTTGCATGTTGGCATTCCAGTCTGATGACTGAGTGGGCCAAGGTACTCCAATCTGATGAGTGTGGGCCCGTTATGCATGATAATACGTTTGTTGTATCGGGTATTTTGGGGAAAACTCATTAAACTTTGTGCTTACTCAGTTGTTTATGTTTTCAGGTTCTATTGTTGATCGTGGGAAGGCGAATGCATGACTGTACACACTCATCAATAATATTGAGGATTCAGCATTTCTTATATTACTCTGATTTTCGATAAATGTATTTTGGAATAAACGTTTTTTCTTAATAATGGATTTATAATTAGGGAGTTTTGCCTTATTTAAAAATGAAAATTTTTTGTTGTGAAAATGAGACATTACACATAAACATCAACAACCACACACACTTCATCAATGATTGTCCCACGTAAGATGTTGTGAGAAAAACCTAAATAAAACATTCATAAGTATTGAATGTGTACAAAAACAAAAATGACTTATTTTGAAACAAAAAAAAAATATTAAGGACTAAATGTGTACAAAAATATTAAGGACTAAATGTGTACAAAATGAGAAATATACTACCCTATTAAGTTATTTTTTCCGACTAACCTGGAATAACCGGTCATAAGGACTGAATGTGTACAGTTTAACAAGTTGAAGGGGTAAATGTGGACGAAAAAAAAAACCCAGTGACCAAATGTGTACAAATCGAAAAATATATTACCCTTTTAAGTCATTATCCCAAAAAAATAGTAAATAAACTAGACTAATGGCTTCATTGATTCATTCTAGTACATATCCGCATAAACAAAGAGAAATATGCATTTGTTAACCTCGAAAACAAACTAAAAGTGAACAAAAGGGAAACGATTAAATTAGAATTAAACCACCAGGTATAGATAGAGCATTTGTTGCCTCTGAACTAGAAAATAGATGGGTAATTTGCTTACGGGGACAACAAGTTTGATCCGCATGGGTCGAATTTAGGTGGAGTGGTATTGATAACCGCCAGAGCAAAATAAAAAACGGCAGGTCCTGAGTCTATGTTAAATAGAAAGATGGTTTTGTTAATTTTTTTAAAAATACGTTTTGGTCCCTATGGTTTGGCTAAAATCACACTTTTGGTCCTAGTATCGATTTTTTTCTCATGGGTAGTCCATGTTGAGGGTTTTGTTAATATCATTGGTTCTGGACCGTTAATCTCCGTTACTAGCACTGTGAAAATACTAAATGCCTTTAAGCTATATAAACAAAACCCTAAGGTGGAAGACGGCGACGATCATTTTTTTTTCTTCCCAACCTCATACATTCACGCCGCTCGACACCATTATTGGATCTGATCATTGCCTCGGTTGCTACCACGACCACCACCACCGACACTGATCATTGTCTCTGTTACCTACAATGATCTCTACCTCCGTTATCGGCCACCTCTTCTTTAAGCTCCGCTAAAGGCATATGACATCACCACCAACACGTCAACCTTCGTCGCTGACATCAACACCGAGCACTACTATGCCCTCTATGATTTCAGTTTTGAAAATTCACCTTCCCTACTCTGATTATAATTATATTAAAAATATTGTTCTCGTTTCTGAAGTGGAAAAATATTTGTTCATCCGAAACCTTCTATGGAATTTCCCGTAACGCTTGTTCAGTTCGAGTTCGAGCATTATGTTGACAAAAGATGAATATTAGCGGTTTCATCATCAAATGAAGATGAGAAATAAGGATTTTCTTCCCTAACATATTTCGTAGCGGATGAATCCATCATTCATTCAATCAGAGAGAATTGGAATCGAATTAGAGAGGGTTGGAATGGAACTGAAATGGGTTGGTGGTTTTTGAAGTGAGTGATTGATGTTTATATAGTTTTTTTAAGTATCCATTGAACAGTCACAAAGAATAGATTCATGAGAAAATGAGTGGCTTACCCACCATGTTCCTATGCACATTTTGCAGGGGATGAACTTCTTTAGGGATGAACTTATTTAGGGTCAGAAGGGGTTGTGCCTCCGTTATCGGCCACCTTTTCTTTAAGATCCGCTAAAGGCATATGGCATCACCACCAGCACGTCAACCTCCGTCACTAACAACAACACCGGGCACTTCTATGCCCTCTATGATTTCGGTTTTGAAAATTCTCCTTCCCTACTCTGATTATAACTATATTAAAAATATTGTTCTCGTTTCTAAAGTGGAAAAATATTTACTCATTCGGAACCTTCTATGGAATTTCTCGTCACACTTGTTTTGTTTGAGTTCGAGCATTATGCTGACAAAAGATGAATATTAGTGATTTCATCATAAATAAAGATGAGCATTATGCTGACAAAAGATGAATATTAGTGGTTTCATCATCAAATGAAGATGAGAAATAAGGATTTTCTTCCATAACATATTTCATAACGGATGGATCCATCATCCATTCAATCAGCGAGAGTTAGAATCGAATTAGAGAGGGTTGGAATGGAATTGAAATGAGTTGGTGGTTTTTGAAGTGAGTGATTGTTGTTTATATAGTTGTTTTTTTAAGTAGCCATTGAACAGTCACAAAGAATAGATTCATAAGAAAATAAGTGGCTTACCCAACCTGTTCCTATGCAAATTTGCAAGGGATGAGCTTCTTTAGGTTCAGAAGGGGATATGTCTCTGTTATCGGCTACATCTTCTTTAAGCTCCGCTAAAGGCATATGACATCACCACCAGCACGTCAACCTCTGTCGCTGACATCAACATCGAGCACTGCTATGCTCTTTATGATTTCGGTTTTGAAAATTCTCCTTCCCTACTCAGATTATAATTATATTAAAAATATTGTTCTCGTTTCTGATGTCACACACATAAAAATCATGCCCAATTTAAAACTTTTAAAACATTTCCAAAACCATTAACCATTACAAAACTTGTTTTCAAAATGTATCAT